ATAAAAAAAATTACACAAACTCTGTGTTATTTATATCCATATACTGGTTTTTGTGATGCCTAAAATGCTATTTGGTAAAATTTTAGTTAATACTTCATTCCTACTTTGATTTTAAATATGAAAGTGATAATAGAATAGTTACTTTGTGAATTGAAAATACCTTGTAATTAGTTATTAGTCAGAGATATCTATTTATGTAAAAATCTAGCGAGAGAGGAATATTACGTTTCCTATACATTTAAAATTTGAAAGAGTATAATAATTCTCTAACTATGTAAAGGATGTGAGTGAGAGACTAAATCGAGTGTTCAGCTTTATGTATCATGTGAACAAGGTAGGGAAAGAGCATATAGATATTATGTGTTAAAGATATGAGTTTCACTATAAATAGAAGAATGTAAAGAAACTTTATGCACTTAATTTCTATATCTGTGAAGCAAATTATTAGATAAGTATTATCATTAATTTTTTCATATATAATCCAGATCTTTGAGAAATAACTAATTAAACTTATCATTTTCATAAGTAATAATTAACTATTATCATTTTTATAACTAGTAACACACCAATCATGTACATCAAAGAGCCAGAATATAACAAAGAAATGATTATTGCTAAGCAATTATCAAAATTAACTAATCATTAGAGAAAGCCAAAAATCTATAATTTCAAAACAAATCGCATGATTATAATTAATGGACCAACATATAATAAATTGATACATATTAGATATGTGTATTGGGAAGAAGAAGGACTCTTAATTCCTTTATCATCATTTGAAAATTATATTAAAAAATAAAAATAAAATACAAGACCTGATTAATATAGCCTGGATCGCAACTTTAAAGTTATAATTTTTTTTATAATAATCTATATATTAGTAAAATTCAAATCAACGAATCTGATCCAACTGATTTTTTTCAAATATCTGCTAGTAATATCTGGATTAATATATTTTATTTTAAGATATAGTTCAATTTTCTTGATAGTTATATAGAAAATTTTACATTCATGAATACCAAACTCTTGAAGCTTTAGACAAGAATGAATAATATTCCAAATCGCTATTTCAGAAAATTCTTTATAGTGAGAGATATTCAGATATTCTAATTTATGACATGAATTTGTGATTGCATATAAATCTTTATTAGTTATTAATCCATTACTATATTCTGCCAAGTTGAGATATTTCAGATAGAGATATGATTTTGCTATTTGATTTAATGTTTTATCACTAAATCTCTTACTAAAAGCAAAATCTAAATGAACTATATTTGGGAGTAAACCCACAATAATTTTGAATTTTTTATCCAAAAGATGGTAATAATATGAAATTTTTAAATGAGTTACATTCAAGCAATAAACTGGCTTCCACTCCTGTATTATTACCATAAAAATTTTTCATATATTACTCTTATTTAGCTCAACTCATTTCCATAGAATAGAAGTATTGCATCTGTATCATAATCAGGAAACATATAGAATAGGATAGAGAGATTTATCTATCAATAAGAAATATAAAATCTGTTCTAATACTTCTGGTATACTAAAAATTCTTGAATGTATCATAAATAATATATGTATTAAAAATGCAAAGAATGATTTAAATTTCAAATTGATGGTTAGTTACCTATATGTAGGTATATATGTTTTTTTTCTGAGCATGGGAGGAAAAAGCATAATTAATTTCGATTTGAAAAAAAGAATTTCCATAATATATATCAGACAAAAATAATCTATATAAAATATCTTAATTATATTAACTGATATATACTAATCATGGCAAAAATCACTACATCATTTGTAAATTGCTACAAGTTGACTCCTTAAATTAGTTTACTCCAGCTTAGTAGTTATATCAAAGAGTTGGCTAATAAACTTTCAGATGATAAGACAAAAGAGCAGGTTCGAAAAGTCAGAGATCAGACTAAAAGATGCTTCCAAAAGTTAGGGTTGAGCAAAGAGCAAGCTGATACTCTTATTCCTATTCGAGCTCCTGAAAGATATGTTGATGAAAGAGATCCCATTAAAATTATTGCCCAAGATATTATAAAAAATAATCTCTTATCTGAAGAAATAAATGGAATAGTATATGACTTGACTTCTTCTGCTTCTATTACTGTTATGGAAAATTCTCATCTTGATTTATTATGGAAAAAATTACGTAGCTTAGGAGCTGATTATCTTATCATTAAGGCAATGAAAATACCCTTTATTACTGAAGAAGCAAATCAGATTCAAGCAAGAAAGTGTATACTTCATGGAATTAATGGTTATGATTGCTTTGAATTCTTTTATCTGGAAAAGGTTTAGGAAAGACTTAGTGAATATGATACTATCAAGCCTTCTTTAATGCAAAATCTAATAGATATAATGACAATGCTATGTATGTGATCAGCAGATGTGAAAAATCTTCATATCAACCAATACAAATCAAGTCACAAGTCATGGTATAATTCTGACTATTCTTTGTATTACACTAATTATGCAAAAAATAAAGGTGAAGTAGAAGAATCCCGGCTCTTTCTCTTAATAAAAAAAAATCTAATACAAGCAAGAAAATTGCTCATCTGGATTCAGAAATCAATATCAAATAAATTTCTCTTCTTGTTAAAAGATAAGGATGGAAATACTAATATTGTACCACTTAATCAATTCTTGAGTTATCATAGAATTACCTCATATATGTTAAGAAAAATAGGTATTGATCATGTTTCCAGAGTACATGAAGGTAAAAATGATTTTCATCATCAGTATTTGAGACAACTGGCATGTAGACACAAAATAGATTACGCTTTATCAGTTGAACATTATGGTATAATGAATGATAGACCAATTACTTTAATAACTAGAGAAAAAAAATACTAAGATATCAGATATTATAGATCTATACAATTACTAATCACACTTCTTTACTTTTATTGCAGAGCAATGGCTTTCACCTACCACATCCATAGTAAAATCTTTATCATCATTGCCAGAGGCAGCCATTTTGTGGCTAGATGATTCAGATCCAGATAAGAACTCAGATACTGTATCATTAAAAATTAGTTTTTTTCTATCTTTACATTTTCTTTTAGCCTCCAGCTAATTTCAAACAAAGAATTTTTATTTGCTGTGATGTATATATATCTGTGATAATTTTTCTTGTTTTACTTTTGATTCTAGACATGGGCACTGATTAGTACTAGCCAATTTTTTGATGAAAATTTCATGTAATTGTTAAGGAGAGACATTTAGAAATAATGGTAGTCCCTCACCAGTAAATCAAAATTTTTTTACTCCTATATCAGCGAATTTCTTTATTAACACATCTAGATCATCTTCTAAGGAACTGTGGAATTTCTTAAACTTTCGGAGGTACACTCTGGCATTTTTATCGGCTTCTTCTGCCATTTCTTGATTAGTATAGCCAATAATACTGATTTTTTTCTGAATTGTCACTATATTGTCTTCTAAGCATAAAAGCAAATCAAATAATCTAATTGATTTATCTGAAGAGGCTTTATCCTTTCTAAGTTCTGCTTCTAAAATGGGATTGATATCTATACCAAGTTTCCCCTGTATAAGTATTAAATTTCCCACCAATTCTAACAATAATTCATATGAATCAGCAAGTGTTTTTCCATCGGGCTCGTGTTCTATTTGCTTTAATGTATTACTGTTAATACCAAGTTTTTTCTGAATAGCTATTATATCCTTTTTCTTATATAAAAACACCTCGTATAATTGAGGAAATTTTTCATTTGGATCAGTTTTATTATTAGTATTACTCGTCATGATTGTTATAATATGGTAATATAATTAATGTGGAAAATAACGCATAAATATATAAATTAAGTGAATATAGCAAATTCAATCTGAAAATAATTATAACCACATCGTAATTGCGAAATTACATCACGTTATAGGGCAAAGCTCATTGCAAAGCAATAATGGAGCGATATCATGTGTTTTAAATCCGCGAATCAGAGATCAGCCCGTGGACATACATAGCCAGTGATAGAAAAAAATAGTTGGTTTATTGATCGTAACGTATCCGAAAAATAGTGAAGACTGGAGTGATCTCGATCCGATAAAATCCCGAAAGAATCGTGTTTATGTTAGAAAGAAAAAGGTTGACTCTTCTATCCGAAAACTAAGCATACCAACTGTATCCGCATGTCAGAGTAGTGATCTATCTAATCAACTATAACAACTGGTGCGAGTGGAAGGTCTTTGAATCTTTTTTCGATATGGGCTAAAATCTTTCTAGATAATATCTTCGACGGAGGTACCTCTATCAATATTTTTTCTGCACCTTTTTCAGTACATATATATACCCACATTATATGTATTAATTTCCCACCCTTGTAGCTATGTCCATGATGAAGTAAAAATCGATACTCATCCATTACAATATCAATCATCTCCTCCTGATCTGCTATTAATTCCCGAAAAAGCTGTTTATCCCAGCCTTCTCGCGACTTTATCACTCGAAGCCAGATTATTGCAGTTAACAATGTATTATTCTCTTTAGACATAGAATGCGTCCTGCTTCACAGACTGGTTAACTATATATCTTTTTTCGAACTTGAGAAATCTGATCACCGTTGCAATGAAACGTAATAAAAATATATTTAATTTATTTCACTATGTCACGTTATAATGGGCCTCAAGGGAGCTATGTCATTGATATATATCAATGATGATTATTGGTTAAATAAAGGGAGTTTTAATATGTAAATGTAAATATTTACATCGGTGAATTTCTATTACATAACAGAAAATTTTAGACTATCTGTGTTGAAAACATCGTACTCCGTGATATAAGCAAAACCCTTTATTGTTTTTTTCAAAGCTATACATAGTAACATACTTTATTTACCTAATATTGTAAATTTTAAACTCATTACGTTCAACCAAAGTATCTTTCTTATTATATATGACGACAGAACTAGTACAAGATCCAAAGTAAAATTGTGCATCGCAAGCTACAACTCGTATTGATAAGATAAAAATTATTTTTTTGACTTCCGCTTTTTAGGTCGATTCGGTGATGACTGATTTTGCTTTACTGAGTGTACTCTTCGCTTGGCCAGCAACTTTTGGTTTTGTTCAATATATGAATTTTTCACTTCAATATTTTCTTTCATGAAGGACTAAGAATAGATCAGTATTAGTAAAGAGCAATTGATAAAGTAAATAAAACTTTGATGCACTTACAAAAAATTTGAGACATGTTATAATTGCTTCGGAAAGAACGGGGAGCTCTTGCCAAGTTGAAGGGATCTTGAAAGTTCCATATTCCCGGAGGCAATACGACTTCTGGTGTATTGTTAACCAAAATAAAGATACTTCAGAACGATTGCCAAAAGCACTAAAGCTTGCGAGGTCTTTGTGGTCATATATTCCGTTTTTGAGACGAAGGAATATTCGCTGGTTCAACACATCTCGCATTGTTCTGATCAACTTATAATCATGAATATGAAACTGAGTAATATCATCAAAGTTTGGGGGTCCTGTCTGTTCATACAAGAACACTTCTTCATGACTCTGCCAGAGACGAGCAAGGCCATCTGCACACTTTGCTTCTAAAACTGTATCAACGATTGATTTAGACCAGTATTACGACGAGCTTTACTACTTTCTACCGGAATTTCGAGACTATAATGGTGTAATTTCAAAAGTTAATTACAGTAAATAATAATTTCCCAGGTGTATAGTCGCGGACTTACATTCTCCAATCAATGCTACATACAGTATTCATTGTATTCTCTAATATTGGGCTTATGAATTGTGCATTATACTGATTTTCTCGGAGGTCACCTGACCTTAATATGTTGAACGGTGCTTCGAAAGCTTTGATACTAAAAAGAACCCAAGTCGTTATATTATAATATTTGCATACAGTAGATAAAATGATCGTAAAGAGACATACTATGGTCCAAGGATGTTGTAGATGACATTCACTAGGTCTTTTTTGTTTCCATCGATCTTTTCGTAAAGTCCACGCCAAGCCTTTTTCCATTCTTCTAGGCTATCTCTTGGCTGTTTTTAACACCAATAGACAAAATGAGTAACGAAGATAAGCAAATCAAAAACGATTTTTGTGACATACCTTGAAAAATTCTTGTATGAAATTTTCCCATTCCTCAGATATATTATGTCTGGGATATGTACCTAGCACGAATTTATCCCAATATTCTTCTGAAATTTCATCCGTGAAGCGTGAAGTTGGTCTCATATCCATAATGTCGCTATGACATAAACTAACAGCCATTATTGATGATAAGACTACTACTATTTCAAATCACGAGATGATCTTACTCACTCAAAGTTGTTTCTGCATTCATCGCAGTAATCTTTAAAAATTTTCTCCAGATCAATGTCGTCCACTATCAATGGGGTCCTTTCTACTTTCCCAACCATTGATTCTGATGCTTCTCTCAAACCATTCTCCAAATCTGAGTTAATTCAAATGATTGTGTCAATAATGTAGTGAAATTGTAGCAATATACCATAGACATAGTACCTCTTTCATTTTGAGGTCGGTGTCCGTCTTCTCGATCTTTCTTGTTCATATTTTCATTTTGTTTTATGTCAGCTTCACTCTCTTCGTCAATAGATGATGATATGTCAGATATGGAAGAACCTTCAATCTATCAGCAAGATATTAAAAGGTGAGAAGATATAAACTTCAAGGTCAGAAGATACCCAAAGAGACCAAAGTTATGCATAAAAGAAGGGATGTACCTTGTGTGCTAGATGAACAGCTCTAATATAAATGGCTTCGTGCTCCTCATCGACATCATTGTCCTCTGATCTCGCCTTTTTCGTAACTGATGGAACTGAAGCTACTGGTATTTCATTATCAAGTACTTCGTCATCCAGTTGATGTTTTCTGTTACCGTGCTCTTCAATGTCATTCACCTTATTATTGGCGCTTTTTATTTCACCAGCAATACCGACAATCTATGTTGAAAATCTTTTTAAGTAACGTTGAAAGTCATACTTATTATTATTGATAATAACTTACATCGGCCATAGTTGAAGTAAAATCCTGTTGAATACGCAAGCCTGTATCATGATTTGCTCGACAAGCTAGAATCTAAAGCATAAATTTGAGTTTTAGAAATACGAACTTATAACTTAAAAATATGTGATATACATACGGCTTTTTTTTCTTTAACCATATCTCCCAATCTCTTTGTATAGATGCTTCCTATTTGCGAGAGAACAGACATTAAAAACACTTCATATTTTGTGTTATAATTGTCAACATGCTTAAATACATACATCGATATTCATTGCTCTAAGCTCACTGAGTTTATCTCCTTCACTACGCTTTATAGCAAGATCAAAACATTTCCTATAATTTTCAATAGCTCGTGCTCGTGATGTTGGATGGGTTAAACGAAAAAAACCAATTGGTTTTGGTTCCGAAGAACTTAAGATCCAGTTTATGTTTACTTCTTGCCGACTCTTACTAAGTTGACTCTTTTCCTGCTTTCCCATTATGACTGAATCAAAAAAAGAAAGAATCGTAAGTATTATCATAAACAGAAGCATCGAGTAATTACTAAAAGCGGGCAGTTTTCACTTAAGGCCGGCCACCGCTTGATTGTGACTCGCCATAATTGGCTTCCGGTAGACCTAAACTCTACCGCGGGCACCTCTCATGCTAACAAACCCCATAATAATTCTGACGCAACGAAGACCGTCGGCCATCGCTTGATGACTCGCCATAAATGGCTTCCGATAGACCTCAACTCTATCGCGGGCACTTCCTTCGTGCTTAACAAAACTATCGATATAACTTATAACGAAATTTTATATTAAACTTACGTGGCGAAAAAAAACCAAAAAACGTTACGCGTTTACAATTTTTTGTCAGATCACTCATAGTACCCTAGCCACGGCAAAAAAAAGTGTCGGTCACATGATTTTCCGACCAATATCCAGCACTCGGCTGTATCACGTTATTACAACTGATGCCGGAGTAATGACACACTTTGCAGATCTTTAATTAGCCAAGTCAAGAAAATAATAGCTTTATTATTAGCTTTACTACAATACTATAACATGCTAAATGACTTTAATTTTCTTTTTTTTCTAGAATTAACGTAACCAAAATGTGAGTTTTTTTCCTTTCAATTTTTCAGTTCCTTGTTGACTATGGGCTTGTAATATTTCCTGGTACTCATTAACCACTTTTACTACTGGCTTCAACAAGCTGTCAAAGGTATCTACAAAGTGGTCATTATCTATTTCTTGTTTGTATAAGATAAATGCAATTTTCATAGTTTTTTTATAAGAAACAATCTTTTCTCATCTTTCATTAATTATATTATATCTTACAGTTATTGATAAGTTAACAATACTCGAGCTCCCTTTTTCAACAAGATCAGTTGTTGATGCACCTTGTAAGTTATCACTTCCTTTATCAAGATTATTCGTCCTATATTAAGACCAGGGATTATTTACTGAATTGATTACTAATACTTTATCTTTTCCAAAAGTAAGTAAAGAATAATCATGTTGATGCGTTATTTCTGAGAAGGTAAGTCAGAAATGGATATCACCTTTCTTTGCAACAAGATACTTGCAGATAAGGTAACGGCTATGAAGATATGCTGGGCAAGAACATATCCAGTTATTTATGTCAACATGATAGGTTTCATCCATGTCAGGCTGGATTTTTATGGTTGCTACTTTTCTCTAATTGATTTTAAAACCATCTCACCATGATGGAAATATCCGATTTCCTTTAAATTGATTCATTTTGAGATCAAAATTAGATATCAATTGTTCTACAAGAATCTGAGTAAGACGGTTCAGATATGGTCAATTATAATTATATTTATAGTTATATTTAAGAATTCACCAATGACTTTCTGTAATCATGATGGTTCGCACTAATGGTATGGTAATCGGATATGCTGACTGAGAAAAAAGCTTTCAGTCTTTTTTATTATACCAGTTTATCCACAGATATCCTCACAATTCAGCAAGGTTACGGCTATAACAAAATTGGTAAATTTCTTTCACATAGTTTTGATAGATCTTAGCAGAGCTCCAGAAAATATTCTTGGCTATTGACATGAGTAGATGCATATTTACGTGTCTTTTTACTATGTTCAAGAGTTCTTTGATAGAATCTTCTGGACATAAATTTCCAATATTTCGATTTGGTATCCAGGAAGGGTCAATAAAATCAAACTGTTTGTGAATCTCTGAAGCTTTTGTTACAGTGTATGCATTTGCTTTTGATTTCTTGTCCTTTAACCATCTGCTAATAGCATGCTTGAGATGCCAATAATATAGCTGAAGATTAGTGATATCTGACCATACCTCACTCATGACTGAGATCTCTCCAGCATCTTTGTCAACTAGACAAAATACTGGTAATAGACCCATTTTTTGAAGACTAGTAAAAAATCTACAGAGAACTTGTACTCTTGTGTTGATTTGATTCTCAGGATTGTGACGTACTTGTTCAGTACTATCAAATATTAAAAGATATAAGTATGCTAAAGACATATCATACCCACCATAATTGGCATTTACAACAAAGAGCTCAAAGCGCTCTTGATTAGTTTTAAATATAGAATCTACAATAATCTCATTTATGTTTTCAATATCAATATGATTGAGCAATAGTATCACAAATCCGAGAGTCTTCACAAAATCATTTTCAACGTAGTAAATAATTTTAAAATCTTTTGCCACAAATTCGGGTTATTCAATATAAGACTTTGCCGATACAAGCTGATTTTCAACATCTATTATATACATCTTCTTACTGAAAATAGATGTCCAATAGTATATCTACTCTCTCATATATACTTCAGAATCGATAAGCTTCTCATTACAAAGATATCTATAAAACTCGTAATTTCAAATATTGTATTTAATATTTTCTTTAATCCATTCTTTTACCTTTGTAGGAAACTGAATTTTTTGATGCTGAGAATACAGATGAGCTTCTAGATGTTGAACTTAAACTAGAACACGATGCTATTGAGAGTCGATAGTAAGTATAACATTTCCCTCACAAGCGTATCTATTTATTGGAGTTCTGACTTTACTTATACGCTTTACTAGTTAATTTTTGGATCTTCACCATTGATGATTCTCATGTTACGTACAATCAAGATATGCTGTTACATAACCAGTGAATCTTTTCTCTTTGCAATTTAGGTGTATATTACGTACTTCCCAGTAATACTGAGATCTGGCCTCAATTGCAAAAAGAACTATTTTTGCGAGTTGAAGAAAGTTGCTCTTAGCTATTTCTAAATCAAATACTTCTGACTGGAGGTCACAAGAAATGCTTTCAGTAAGTCATGGATTCAGCTCTACTTCAAAGATCAATCTTATGGATTCATTATTACTTTCTGAATTTTGAAATTTTATACTAACATACTCTGCTACCTCATCTAGGCTATAAAGAAGTCCACCAATATCATTATCATATCAGTCATTTTGAATACCATCTGGATTTGTTGTTTACTCTTTAATAGGATTATCTTGCTCTAAAAACAGTTCTTTTAAGATGGTGTTAATTTAGGAGACATTAGCACCACTGACAGTACTTGTACTTTGAACAACTGCATTTAGATCAATCTCCAGTTTAGCTTTTTTTTTTGATATTAGATTCGTATTGATTCCTCTTTTATTCTTGCATCTTTCATAGTAATGGTTACAGGTTGCATACTCACGTGTTGGATTATTATGACAGAAGTCTATCATCATTTTTGCATGATAGCAGCTGGAGTATACTTTGAATTCAGAGATTTGAATAGGAACTATTAAAGAAGATAGGATATATATATACTTTTTTTAATCTTTTTTTTTAATACAGTTATCATAATTGCTTGGACATTAACTTTAAAATTGCTTCCACTCATTTTGTTTCTTGGTAACGTAGCTGTATTAAATTATATGATTTTAATAATATTAGCAAAAATGTTCAATTTTGATGCATTTACATATTTATATTATAGCGATTTGCATTCCGAATTATCTATTGTGAATTGTCTCTTACATATATGTAATCCTTTCACCAGCAGTTTTTTGGTGAAGATCTGCCATAAAAGTGTATCATATTACTGAATTAATAAAGATAAGTTTACAAGAGACTACTAATTATCATAATCTTTTGATTTAATTAGTAGATGATTATTAAATTTGATTTTTATTTTTTGATATTAACCTGAAGCTTTTTTTTGCTTACACTTTTACTTGGGATCATGCTTTAGTTTGAACGATAAGTGAATTTTTTATTTTATTTGGATATTTACAATTACAAAGTTAATTTGAAGCTTTTTATATGATAAAGATCAATGGATTTGGTACTGTCACAGGTAGATTAGAATTTTGTGGATTTGGAAAAAATTGTGAACTGTGATGATGAGTGGGAAAGAGTGATTAAAGTAATTTTATCATCTATGGATATTGTTCAATATAGATGTTTCCAAAGGTAATTATGAGATGGGGTAAAGGAAATTTCGTGTATTAATTTATTAACTAATCTATTTTTATTTCTGTGCTTTTTCTAGCTAAAAGCCTTAAATTTGGATCAATCAAATCATTCAATCAATGATGCATTTCACCTAAAGAACCTAATCCAAATCATCATCTTTTCTGATGGAAAGAGCCTAATCAATACATTAGAATTACAATTCTATAGCACGATTTTTACAAGTATTTCTCTTTGAGAAAAGATAATGTACACAGTTTTATTTTTCATTTTCTTGCGATAAAGACCAATAGATTTGGTACTGTCATAGGTGGGTTAGAGTTTTGTGGATTTGGGAAAAATTATGAATTGTGATAGTGGGTGAGAGAGAATGATTAAACTAATTTTATCATTTATGGATATCATTCAATATGGGCATTTTCAAAGATAATTATGAGGTGAGTAAAGAAGATTTTGTATATTGATTATTAACTAATCTATTTTTATTCCTGTTCTTTTTCTAGCTAAAAGCCTTAAACTTGGATTAATCAAATCATTCAATCAATGATACGTTTTATCTTTTTTGAATTAAAGAACCTAATGAATTCATCATCTTTTCTGGTAGAAAGAACCTAACCAATAAGTTTAAAATTATAATTTTTATAGAGCAATTTTACAAGTATTTCTCTTGGAAAAAAGGTTTTGTATGCAATTTTATTTCTTTTTTATTTAATAACCATTTATTTTATACATTTTTTTGTTAACTACTATATTAAAAGTGATACTAATTCTAATTCTATATAATTTCTTTATTACATTAATAGGTTGAGCAGCAGTAAAGGAAAGAGTGATGTGGTCTATTATACTAAAGAACATGAACAATTGTGCTGAAAAATGCTAGGAAATCATTGCGATATATATATTATTGATAGCGTGTACTGAAAAATATCTTACTGCCAAAGCTGCTAAATTAGTCACCAAACAAGAAAATTACAAGCTAATCCAAGAACGCAATACTGATCTGCAAACCAAACTCCAAACTGCCCAAGTGGAAATCACCAACTTATGAAATGAATCAGCAAACTCGAATTAGCTTTCGCCGAAAGGGAAAAATAAGAGGGAGGAAGGGGAAACCATCATGATCAATAGTATTGATAACATGTGCTGGAAAATATCTCATTGCCAAAGCTGCTGAATTAGTCACCAAACAAGAAAATTACAAGTTAATCCAAGAACGCAATACCGACCTGCAAACCAAACTCCAAACTACTCAAGTGGAAATCACCAACTCACAGAATGAATCAGTAAACTCGAATTAGTTTCCATCGAAGGGGAAAAATAAGAGGGGAGGAGGGAAAATCATCATGATCAATAATATTGACAACGTGTGCTGAAAAATATCTCACTGTCAAAGCTCTGAATTAGTTACCAAACAAGAAAATTACAAGTTAATCCAAGAATGCAATACTGACCTGCAAACCAAATTCCAAACTGCCCAAGCAGAAATCATCAAACTCATGGAATGAATTAGCAAACTTGAATCAGCTTCTGCTGAAGGAGAAAAATAAGAGAGAAGGAGAGGAAACCGTCATGATCAATAGTATCAATAACGTGTGCTAGAAAATATCTCACTGTCAAAGCTCTGAATTAGTTACCAAACAAGAAAATTACAAGCTAATCCAAGAATACAATACTGATTCGCAATACCGACTTGCAAATTAAACTCTAAACTGTCTAAGCAGAAATCACCAAACTCATGGAATGAATTAGCAAACTCAAATCAGCTTCTACCAAAGGAGAAAAATAAGAGGGAAAATCATTATGATCAATAGTATCGACAATATGTGCTGGAAAATGTCTCACTATCAAAACTCTGAATTAGCTACCAAACAAGAAAATTACAAGCTAATCCAAGAATGCAATACTGACTTGCAAATCAAACTCCAAACTGCCCAAGTGGAAATCACCAAACTCATGGAATGAATCAGTAAACTCGAATTAGCTTTCACTAAAGGAGAAAAATAAGGAAGGAAACTATTATGATCAATAGTATCTATAACGTGTGCTAGAAAATGTAAAAAAAATAAGGGGTGCAACGCAATCTCGTGTATTGAAGAATGCTACAAAAAAAAGGTACAGATACAGTTACAAACATGATGCTGGAAGATGCTAAAAAATAGGGAGCCAGAAATTATGTGATATCATGAAATATTTGGCAGTCGGATGAATTCCCTTCATGAAATTTGGATTACAGGAATAATGATAATAGTATTGGAATCATTCTTGAATTTTCACTCAGAATCATGTATTCATTTAAACTTAAATAGAGGTAAATGGATTTTTTATTTTATTTGGATTTTTATAATAATGATGTTAACTTGAAATCTTTTTTTTGTGATAAAGATCAATGGACAGCTTATTCTATAGAAATTATTTGTGCATCTTTACTTGAGATCACGTATATATAGATAAAAATGATTGCAAAGGCAGGCAAAAACTAAATATACTAAAATATATTGTCATAATTAATTATATAATGTTTATTATTATAGTATTGTAATAAAGCTAATAATAAAGCTATTATTTTCTTGACTTGACTAATTAAAGATCTGCAAAGTATGTCATTACTCTGGCATCAGTCGTAATAACATGATATAACCGAGTGCTAGATATTGGTTGGAAAATCATGTGACTGACACTTTTTTTTGCCATGGCTAGGGTACTAGATCACTCAGATGATCCTACTGATCTGCAGACTGCATATTAATTCTTTGAGGAGATTTCTAATGCCGATAAAAGCTAGCAAGTATGGCTAAATGAGCTCTATCTCTTCAGATAAGACATTATACATTTTTATAGGAGAGTGTCCTTCCCTCTTTCTTCTCTCGTTAAATAGGATGATAAATTCAATCCAGAGAGTCTCAGTTTCATTGGAATATTTGGATTTGTGACTTCTTACAGATTCTTGTCCTTTAATCAACAAAGATAGTATATTAGTGCTAAAACACATTAATGCAGAGTACACGAACTTTATCCAATATAACAATGTCATTATCTTGAGACCAAATCTCACTTCTCCATTCTGTTTCAGTTCGCATTCTATTCATTTTATTATTAAGTACCAAAATTGCATTTTCGAGTTTTTTTATAGATGGATCACTCGGCGTTATTATATTTTTGCATAGATATATGAATACTATGACAAGAAATATTTATATTATTGTGTTTCCGGTGGTAATTGTATAAAGTATCTCCATATTCAAGATACCTGATTAAATAATTCATAGATCGCGATTGCAGTGATAAAAATAATGAACAAAAAAATATCAGATGAATTAAGTAGCATGTTATAATAAATAAATTGATTATTCAATTAATTATTTGATTGTTTGATTATTATATCGCACGATGATAATTGTTTTGATGTTTTATTAAGGACGAGCCTGCGAATTTATCTCTAGATAACGCATATTTTTATATTGGTAACTTGTAAAAGTATATCATGTGGTAAAGATGATCAATATATCTTAATTTCACAAAACAGAGATAAATTAGCTTAGTTTCTTGCGTATCCCATTTCTTAACACGAATTATATCTGATTTATTCTATGTGATCATGACATTGGTTCTTTAGATTTTGTTCTAAGTAATTAATTCGATACTTCATATGAACTTGAATGCAAAACAATATTCATGTTAGGCAAAATATTACAGTTAATGAACTAACTATCAGTTAATGAATTGGGAAATTGAAATTGAGCTAGCTTGTGATTAGCAATTCCGGATTGGCGCTAAAATAATTAGAAATATATTTAGTTGTATAATGCATGTATTACATTACCTATTTTTTGGCAGAAATTTTTCTGAGTAATCATCCCGAGAGAATAGTTTTATACTATGTGATATGTTGATTAAATATATGTATTACTGATCAGCAGATTACTATTTCATATGCTCATTATATGTATCACTCGCAAAATATGATGATTATACACAACTTATCTAATAATCCAGGCCCTATAGAGGCTCTTCAAGATCTGTACTAAAAATAAATCATATATTCTTATACTATAAAGAAACAAATCTAATAAGTCAAAAACGCTAAAATCACTAAATATAATATTCTCTACAAGCGATAAATATGTCTGGTTTTGATGTTATAACTATTCTCAATAAGAAAGATAGAACATTACCCAAACCTTTTAACACTCATCCTGAATATGATATGAAATATGTCAGAAAATATATTGGAAATTATTTTGCTTTTGATGATAAATAATATGATGAACTCTTCAATAATGAGAGATTATTTGATATATTGTCTATTATAAAACAAAATAAAATACTAGTTCAATGGATAATACGAGTAAGAATTCCATTACAAGAATTGTTAACCACTGGAAAATTTAGTGTATATCATCGATATTATTTATTTATGTTATTTAGTAAAGATAAATTTGTCAATTTCGATTATTACAGACCAAAGATTCATAAAAGTCATATGACTATTTGTTTTGGTTGCTAGAAACTCATAAAAATCAATAATGTGAATCCTAAAAAATTATTTCATTTTACTAGACAGAGATATATTAATTATTTCAAACCTAAAGATCTGATGCAGAAACATTAGGATCACGAATGTAATAAATCAAAGACTGATTTTGGAAAAGCAAGAATTATACAAATAACTTATTGAAATTATAAGAATAGATCTGAGTCATTAGCAATTCAAGCTTGGAATACAATGAGAAATGATGGTACTTCTGATGATAAAAATTTTCTAGATTTAACTTGACATCAAGTAAAAAATCCTCAGACTCAAGAACAATTTAATTAATAGCATATTAAATAGATTGAATTATATAAAAACAATCCCATGATATGCAGTTATATTATTAATAGATAATATAAAGAATATTATATTCCAGATAATTGGATAGATTCTAAAAAGAGTCAATTGCAAGTTAGATTCTAAAAGTGACTTTTAGAAATAGAAGCATAGTACTTTAGACTTTATTTCATTATTCCTGAGACTGGTAATATTTTTTACTTTAGTTTTTATATACAGTTATTTTATCTGACACAAAAAATCCCCTTGATACAAATAGACTTTATTTATTTTTTCAATATCTATTTCAACCTTAATCAGGCTGGATACTGATAGCTATTTTATTAGAGAATAGTAACAAATAAGATGTTAAAATCATCCACCCCAATTTCAATCACAGCTGGATATGGACAGCTTCTTAATAGAAGTGGTGAGTAGGATATACTTATATTGTTATATTAATAAATAACCAAAAAAATAATTATTCAATTGTTATGTCTTATTTTATCTAATTTTAAAGTATTATATCTTCTGAATATCATCCTAATTAGGCAGAATATTTATTATCTTTTAATCTCTCAATCTCCTTTTCTAGATCAAGAAGAGTGTTCCATCAAAGTGAGAAAGACTCAGATCTGGGTTTATTCAGATCTATAACTATAAACTCTTTTTGTCTCAAATAACTGTCAATAATTTTTGAAGCTTTTCACAGATCTATATCAGTGTAAGGACTTATAATATCTGCAAGTTTTTGAATAGAACCCCCACCATTAAAGAGAACAATGTGAGTAGCATTTTCACAAATATCTATTGGAATTTTATGGAATTTCTGAGTAACATAAATTAAGAAAATATTCTCATGATGACCTCAAGTGAAAAATGAAATAATTTTTTTCTGTATAGCTAGAGGGTCAGAGTAAAGATCTTTAAATATTGCTAATGTACTTCTTTTAGTATTAAACTTTTTGGGATCTGGAATTTTATCAGAAGATAGTGTAGAAAATGTGACATCTTCATAATAGGACTTTGATTTGTCTTGGGCAAGATATTTATAAAAATCTTGAACTATTTTATATTTTGGCTCATTTAAATGATGTCTGAAAAGAAATACATCATCACATTTAACATTGCATTCCTCTATCTTAGAATGTTTTTTCTTCTTAAATATGTAATAAAATTTGGGCATTATTAGCAAGTTTAAATTCATATTGGTCTTATCTGAATTGCTAGCCCCTGTCATCATGATACGAAAAGATCATGCTAATGTATCTTTATCTCCCTAGTATTTTTTCAAAGGTTTTACCTCATCCATGACAAATACATAATATAACATATTTTTGTTATAAATATATATTATATTTTTTTATTCCGATGAATAATTTGATTTTGATATGCTATTTATATCTATATTTTGTAGATAACCTTTCTCTTACAATTTGTATTTTATGTATGAAAATAAATCTGCATCATACGGTATTTTAATAAGATCTATATCTTATTCTTTACATATTTTCTACTTTTTTTGGTCATATTTTCTTTGATTATCTAGATCATCTTGATTTTTGTGATATAAACTATTACAATGGTAGTATTGAACTTCCTGGAATTTGTATGCTAATTTTAGCTCTTTATTATACCCATCTAATTACATCCCATTCAAAAATGATAATTTACAAGATGGAAATTTCTTATCCAACAGATCCTCAAAAATATATCTATATCTTTGCTCACCACTATGATAGAAACAAATTAAATACTATTCAAATTTCATAGTTATTAATGGATATGAATATTCCTATTGATATTTTCTGTTTTTACAAGACCAGAGATATACATCAAAATCATTTATTTGGCCAGTTTTACCAAGACATTTTCTATTATACTTCTTTGCATACTCTTCAGCTTTAGCCATTTTATTAATAATACAAATAAAATTAATAGATCTAAAATGAGTTTTTTCTTCCAATATACTCTGAAGTGAATACTGAAGTTTTTCTAGATCCATGTGCATGAGCTCCTCTCATATAAATTTCCACTTTGAAGAATATTCATCATCATTGCTTTTGAGATAATATAAAACTGGTTCATTCTTTATTATCACAATTTTACAAATTTTATGAATACTTAGACTGAATGTAGGATCTATCGCACACTTCTGATTTTCCATACCTCCTTTTCACTCTGCATTAGCAAGTAGGTAATAAACACTACTCCCCTTTTTTAATTTATTTTTCTCATCTTTTCCAACAAGATGCTTATATTTTGTGGATGATCAAGATTTAACCTTTTTTAATTTGATGACTTTTATTGGTACTAAACTCCACTTTGTAGAACCTGGAGCTCTAATGAGATGCATTGGATAATTATTAAGATAATCTATTATTTCTGGCAAATACTTGACCCACTCTCTTATTAATTTAGGATTTTTAGATATTGATTCAATAGCATACTGAATTTTATAAAGTATCTCTGCTAATATCTTATTGAATCATTCTACAAGAGCTAATCCATAATGACTATAAGCATCAATTACTCGAATTGTAACATTATATGCTTCTATTAATCAAGCAGTTTCGCCTATGAATTCTTTATCATCATCATATTATAGAAGTGTCAGATATGTAAAAGGGTTATTAAGATCATCATAAATTTTCTTAAATGCTTTAGCAACTTCAGAACTATTCTTTGATGTTAGAGGAACACTTGTCTTGAACCTGCTACTCACATCTATAATTTATAATACTGCTTTCCATTTTTTACCTTTATAATAATCATGCATAAGAAATAAGAGATTATACTAATATATATAATTTGATTTTTGAATTTTACTATAACTAACTCGTGGAGTATCTTTTAATGATGGAGTGTACTTTTACTATTTATTCTGATTATATAACCATTCATGAACTTTTTTATATAGGAAATTATATTTTTTATCTTTGATAGCATTATATAGCTTTCGAGAGTTAGAATGATAACCAGTAGATTGGTAAAAAAAATAATTTATAGATTAAGTTTAATTCATCATCTGGATTAATTCTAATAATAGGTTTACTCAATTTACTCATTTTCGATATTACTTATTATAGTAAAAATTATGTTTAGCAAAGTTAAAGATAAGTTAATATAATATGTCATAAAAAATAGAGACAAAGTCTCATTATTTTATAATAATTATGGCATTTTATCAACCATATCCTAATTAAATATCTCATAGACCAAGCTCTGATTGAAAATTGAAATTGGAGTAGATAAATCAAGTTTTAAGAAATGAGTTAT